AAATAAAGAAAAGAGGGGCTTCCCTGGTGGTGCAGTGGTTAAGAATCTGCCTTCCAATGTAGGGGATGTGGGTTTGATCCCTGGTTGGGGAACTAAGATCCCACATGGCGCAGGGCAACTGCTAAGTTGGCATGCTCTAGAGCCCATGCGCCACAACTAGAGAGCCCATGCACCACAACTACTGAGCCCACGCGCTCTGGAGCCCATGTGCCAAAACTAGAGAGACGCCCGCACACCACAATGAAGAGCCCGCATGCCACAATTAAGACCAGAAAAATAAATATTTACATATATATATATATATATATATATATATATATAAAACGAAAAAAAGAATAAAAATCAATTGTTTTAAAAGAAACAGAAGCATTTTTCTAGTTAATCAGTATGTTCAGTTCATGAAAACAAACAAACCTGAACCAGCTGGCTTTGAGTCACTCTCAGTAAGTCTGGCTCCACAGGACACCGATGGGCAGCAGGGACAGGTCTCTGGGTCCCCACACTGCACATGGGCACTCACACTGGCCTCCCAGAGGGCATCTACCAGGACAGCAACCCAGGTGGGCCTGCACCCCAGGCTCAGCTCGGTCCTACCTACTGCCCATCCTTCAAGTGGCTGTGCCTGGCCTCAAAGCTCAGAAAATGGGGTTTTACATTAATCCATATAAACGTCCCCATCCACACACTTGATCCCATCACGCCACACAATTCAATGGAGGCCGTTCCTGAAATGCTCACGGGGGCATGTAAAGGGTGAGCTGCCACGTACTGAGTTGTGCAGCTCGTCAAAGAAAGCTTCGGTGCCTGCCCCTTCCAATGCCAGCGCGACACAGCTTTATGGTTGAAACCTCACATCACTACACCTAGGATCACAATGAGGCAAAATCCCAATTTATGGCACACTTACGAGGAGGAAAAAAAGCACTCACCTAAAAGAAGTCAAGTCCATTTTTCTTTTTCCCAAGTAGAACACCATTGCTGAATGAAACCCCATCCAAGTAAACTTACAAACATGTTTATTACAATGATTAAGCTTTAGCATCAAAGAAAACTGTTTTCTTTCTTTCTTTCTCTTCTTTTTTCTTGAATTTATTTAAAGGATCTCATTCAGGCATAGAATCTGAAAAATCTGGATCCAAAATGCCAAATAGGGTTGGCAGCAGTCCGCTGCCTTCTGTGCTCTGGGAATTCAAGAGAATAAATAAATAATTCTCAGAGCTGATAGCAAAGTCTAGTCCAGGCCAGTTTTAATTAGAAATAACCCACAGGCGAGTGGATTTCGGTGCATCCCACAGCTGCTGGGCTGCTCTGGGCCAGGTGCGGCCTCTCCGAGTGGAGGGGCCAGTGACACTGCAGTGGACAACTCCTCACCCACCATCCAGAGGCCTCGTCACAGCCGACAAGCCCCTCAGGGTCATCCTCATTTGTCCTGGGAGATGACAGACTTCCCAACAACACTCACAGCCAGTGCCAAGTGGCCTAAGGAATCTTAAGTTATTTTTTAGAGCACATGATCCGGATGTAAAGTAATCTGGGGTTTATATGCTTCTAACTGTTATTTTAAGCATCTGCGGTACAAGCACTTGCAGTAGTACTTTATTGCTCGGAACGTTACCCAACTTCTCACTGTTTTTCGGAGGCTTCCTTTTCTGTGCTCTACTACCCACACTTAAGACACACGTTTCTCATTGACTTATGTGCTTATAAATTAGTCATTTTCTAATTTAAATATACACTTTTTCATTGATACACTAGGGTTGAACTCTTGACCTTTACTTCTCCCCAAATTTTCTTGTTAACAGCTTTCAATTACTGGCAATTTTTATTTCTCATTTTTAGAACATTCATGGAGGGAAATGCCAGATTTAGTACCTTCTTTGAAAATCATTCATAAACAACCTATTCTAAACTATATCTAAGAAACAAAGGAGTGACCTTTCCTTCTATTAATCTAACATTAACTTGTATAAGTAATGGTTTTATTAACGACAGTAATAAATCTGCTGCCAACATACAATAGTGTATTCTATAATGGGTTGACTTTATGTCACAATACAATCCTTTAAAACCAGAAAAGCTAACTGAGTTGGATTAACTAGATTATACACCTGAGTCTGTATTAGAAAACTTTACTCTGACTTCACCACTTGTCAATGCACACAGAGGTCTCTCCACGATGACAGCTTCTCCCCAGCGGAGTGAAGCGCTCTGGGGTTCCTGAACGGGAGAGTCGCTAACACGCCCCACAAGCCCCGCCGTCACCGGAATGCTGGAGAGAGAAGGGGCCTCCCTGCACTCTGGAAGTGCCTTCCCCCAAGCAGCCATCAGCGCCATAGTCAGACGGGACGTGGCCCACGAGTCAGGCCGCGCTCAGCAGCAGGCCGGGCGTGGCCATGGCGGGTCCGTCACTGGCCCGCAGGAGAGGCCAGGGCTGGTGGCCCCTGCAGACCTGCCCTTCTCCCCCATCCTCCTTCTGAAGACGGGCAGACTGGAAACAGCACAACTCTGTGACTCAGCCCGGTCACCCCATGGTATCAAACGAGGACAACCTGCCCACCGAGGCCTGTCCTCCCCCCTGGACCTGACATCCAGGGAAGCCCCAAACGAGCGGCCTCGGGGTCCAAGCACAGCTGCAGTGCCACCTGCAGCCCCAAGGACTCGTCCTCGTCCGCTCGACCTCACGGAACGGCCACAAACCACCGACGGTGCAGTATGAGCGGCACATCCCTGGGTCCTGAAGACGACCTCTTCCCAACACAGGTGACAAAGTGACACGCCACCAGGAGAGCCATCCTTACTCAGGGCAGGAAGCCTGTCTCACTCTCACCTCATCTCTCAGAGCAACAGTCCTCGAGGGCGGGGCCCAGGGGCGCACTTGGTTATACCTGAGACCCCACGGGTTTAGTGGGCAGAGCCAAGGAGGCTGACAGCCTTCAAGGCATGAGACAACCTCCCCAACAAAAGCCTTTCCCACACAAATCCCACATGTCCCATTCATGGGAGCAAACAACATGCTCCTAACTCTCTGAGCCCAGAATCTTACTCCATTTCTACACTCATACACAAAGTATTTTTGGACAGTTTCAATGTAAGGTGAATTTTCCCGGAATTTCACTATTGTTTGAGTCTAGAAAAAACTACACTTTGCTTTATGTGAAACTTCATCAAGAACTGCTCATTTTGAAATATTCCACCACCAACTGGTATCTGAGTCCCAGGATGACAGCCCTCCCGACTGCCAGCTCTGACATGGGAGGTTTGGTCCTATTCACTAACTCCTTATGTAGTTCCCCCAGCCTTTTCCACATCAAAATATATGTTATTTTATTATACATGACCATCCTTTTATTTCTCCTTACATTATAATTAAGACATTACATTAGTTTTTTAATTATATTTTCTAAACATTGCATTTTAGGATATGAGGGCATTACAAAAAACTTATTCTTTAAAAAAGGCACTGGCTGGGACTTCCCTGGTGGCGCAGTGGTTAATACTCTGCGCTCCCAACACAGGGGGCCCGGGTTCGATCCCTGGTCAGGGAACTAGATCCCACATGCATGCCACAACTAAGAGTTTGCATGCCACAACTAAGGAGCCCGCCTGCTGCAACTAAGATCCAGCACAACCAAATAAATAAATAAATAAATAAATGGACAACCAGCTTCTTTAAAAAAAAAAAAAGGTACTGGTCCTGGTAGGTCTGAGGCTCACTGCCTGCAGAGCAGACAAGCTCCACAAATGTTCACTGGGAGAAAAGATACGGCTGACCCGTCAGGACAAGGTATAAACACAGAGTGAATCACCACGGACCAAAAGGCCTTCCCTTTGGGGACAGAGATCCCTGGGGTCCCCCACCCCGGTTGGAGAGCAGCTTTCGGGGCCACGCAGGTCTCCAACACCCCAGGACACTTCTGAGAGTCAAAGGAGGCCCACACTGCAGGCGTCATCCACGGCTGTCCCAGGCAGACCAGGACAGGCAGCCACACTGACAGGAGGCACATACTTGAGCACCCTCCTCAATCCCACGTGCCCCAGGGCACATGCAGGCGGACCTGCAGACACGGCAGCAGCCTGGCCGTGGCTCCCCCTGCTCTGAGCCCCACCGCCCTCCTCTGCAGACACACAGGAGAGAGGCAGCAGTTGGCCCAGAGAGCCGCGACAAGACCCTCGGTAAAAGCCCCGAGCTCTCGTCAAGCGCAAAGACAAGTGTTGCCACCGTCACAGTGAGACTTCCTCGTAGCCTGCCGTGGGCAAGGATAAAAACACCAGTGGAACTGATGGAAGGAGCCGCCCACGACCTGAGCTTCTGCTCATCTCAGCAGAGTCCCTGACGGTGCCCTGGACCAAGGACAGGCAAACAGGTCAGAGACAGAAACACCTTTCCCATCGGCCCACACTCTCCAGAAGCTTTGATTCAAACGGCACCTGAACTATTACACGTCACTACAGTTAGGCTCTAGATAGAAAAACAAAATACAGGCACAATAAAAACTACAGACACGAATGGAAAGTTTGATATACTCAAGTGAAATGTATAAAAAGCTACCTATGGGGCTTCCCTGGTGGCGCAGTGGTTGAGAGTCCGCCTGCCGATGCAGGGGACACGGGTTCGTGTCCCGGTCCGGGAGGAGCCCACATGCTGCAGAGCGGCTGGGCCCGTGAGCCATGGCCGCTGAGCCTGTGCGTCCGGAGCCTGTGCTCCACAACGGGAGAGGCCTGTGTACCCGAAAAAAAAAAAAAAAAAAGCTACCTATGAAGAAAAAAGTCTCTCAAGACTAGCCAGATGGAACAGAAAAGAAAGAGAAGAAACGAACGTACAGCTTCAAAGCTCCAGTTGGCCAGTTCCAAAGTAGAGATGCACCAGCCTGGCTTATGTCAAAAAGAAACTGTAGGGACGACCCCAGCCGTCCCGCAGAGGCCCCGTGTTTCTTTCCAGTCTGACTATGATCCCGCCCTGAAAGCACCAAGGGGCACGGGCCCGGGGAGGAGGTTCTTACCATCGTACTTTGTTGCAGGTCTGGGTGGCGCCGAGAGGAGAGCCCGCCACCATGGGCACCTGGATGGGGCTGTGCTGCTTGTTGGTGACCAGATCCAGTTTCTCTTCCAGTGATTTACATGTGGCCTCCAGAGCCTGCAGCTTGGCTTCAATGCTATCCAATCGCAAGCAGATTGTCTGGTTAATGGAATACAGGAATGACTGCAAGTGAAAAAAAGGAAAGCTTCAGGAAGGGCATCCTGAACCCCAAGGAGATAATTCCAAGGAACATCAAACAGCTATTTCCCAGACTCAGATGTATCTATTCCCACAGAACAATCCCCGCACTTCAGCTCTTCAGTTATAAGCCAGAAGCATTTCACTAAACAAGCTCGGCCTTGTGCACTCACAATGTGACAACTTAATCGGGCTCTTACTTCTCTGTGTAGTTGTGATTCTTAGTTACACTTAAGTCCGTATAACACAAGATTTAAGTGGACGTTACGACGCAAGTTTCTATTAATCAGTAAACTTACACATAAAACTGGTCAAATTCTACAATGAAAACATTACATCCAACATCAAAACGGCCCGGAAACCCGCCTGCTCGCGTTATGTTCCCCCGAGCCCCACCCCCAAGGTGAAATGTGACAATGACTCTCCCGCGCGTGGGAGCAGCACGCCTGCCACCTAGTGGTCACAGAAAGAGCAGCCTCGCCTTCCACTGCTGCCACCCAAGTCTCGCCGACCACAGGGACGTGTGTGGCTCCAAAGCAAGGAACGGCTCAGACAAACACCAGACAGGAAGCTCGCCCCCTCCCACGGCAGCCGCTCCTGCCCTGAGTCGGCAGGGGCACAGAGGGAAGCAGGCTGCTCCCCCCGCTGGCCTCACCAGCTGATACTGGGACACGGGCGCCAGCCAGAAGCAAGCCCCTGGAGCATCCAACCGCCCAGCTCAGCAGTGTGGGAGGGGGGCAGGGGAGGCAGCAGCTGAAAATAGTGAAGAGTTCGAATTTTACCTTTTCTCTCTCCTTTTCTGCCCTTGACTTCAAAGGGAAAAATGCCCAGAGTGCCAGTCACATCAGCAGG